GAAGGGGGGCGGGGCGGGGGGCGGGGCCAAGCGAGGTGAGGGCGTGGTTTCTGTGTGGGCGTGGCCTGAGCCGGGATGGGGGCGGGGCCAATCGAAATTACAGCAGGATTGGCTGGGGTGGGGCTGGGTGGGTGTGGCCTAATCTTGGAGGGGCGGGGCCTGAACAGAAGTGGGTGGAGCCTGTGGGTTAAATGGGTGTGGCCTGATTATGGTAATTATGATGGGGGTGTGGCTAATTGAGCATGGGGTGGAGCTTTGTGGGTGGGTGTGGCCAATCCTGCTGTGGGCGGGGCTTGCAGGGGTGGAGCTAAACGTGGGGGCGTGGCCTGTGGTGAATTAAGGGGAGGGGTCAATTTGAGGGGTGTGGCCTAAAGGGGTGGGGTTTGGTCACATGATTAGTTTGGGGCAGGGCTTAAAAGGGTGTGTCCAGATATGCTAATGAGCATGCTCTGGGCTCATGAATAATGGGCGTGGCCTGTCCAGGGAGCCCGCAGTGATTGGGGGGGGTCTGGGGGGTCCCTGAGCCCCCTGCCCCTCCCCCAGCCCTGTCCCCCCTGGCCGAAGCCCCCGAGAGCTCCAAGAAGAGGCTGCAGGACCCCGAGAACGAGATCTTCTACCTGCAGGTGGGCGGGGGGCCCGGGGGGGAAATTTGGGGTCCCAGGCAAAATTTGGGGTCCCAGGGGGGAAGTTTGGGGTCCCAAGAGGAAAATTTGGGGTTCTGGGAGGGATTTGGGGTCTTGAGGGGGGAAATTTGGGGTCTCTGGTGGGGGTTTCCATCCCCTCTTACCCCAATATTTTGGGGTGTCCCGGGGGGTCTCCATCCCCTTTCACCCCAGTTTTTTGGGGTGTCCCTGAGGGGTCTCCATTTCCCTGTGACCCTGAGATTTTGGGGTGTTCCTGAGGGGTCTCCATTTCCCTGTGACCCCAATTTTTTGGGGTGTTCTCGGGGGTCTCCATCCCCCCTTTCACCCCATTTTTTTGGGGTGTCCCTGAGGGGTCTCCATCCCCCCTGACCCCGTGGTTTTGGGGTGTCCCGGGGGTCTCCATCCCCCCTGACCCCGTGGTTTTGGGGTGTCCCGGGGGTCTCCATCCCCTTTCACCCCAATATTTTGGGGTGTCCCGGGGGTCTCCATGCCCCCTGACCCCGATATTTTGGGGTGTCCCGGGGGGTCTCCATCCCCCCCTTTCACCCCATTTTTTTGGGGTGTCCCGGGGGTCTCCATCCCCCCTTTCACCCCAGTTTTTTGGGGTGTCCCGGGGGTCTCCATCCCCCCGACCCCGTTATTTTTGGGGTGCAGGTGCGGGGCCGGCAGCGCTACGAGATGTTCCGCATGGTGAACGAGGCCCTGGAGCACACCTACGGGGGGGGCGCGGCCCCCCGAAAGTGAGCGGGGCTGGGGGGGCTGGGGGGGCT